GTGTGTGTGCAGTGTGTGGTGTTGTGAGTGTGACGTGTGTGTGCAGTGTGTGTGCAGTGTGTGGTGTGTGACGTGTGTGTGCGATGTGTGGTGTGTGAGTGTGACGTGTGTTTGCAGTGTGTGGTGTGTGAGTGTGATGTGTGTGCAGTGTGTGGTGTGTGACGTGTGTGTGCAGTGTGTGGTGTTGTGAGTGTGACGTGTGTGTGCGATGTGTGGTGTGTGAGTGATGTGTGTGCAGTGTGTGGTGGTGTGAGTGCCAGCATGTACGTGAAACACAGGTGAGGGCTGCGAGTCTGTCAGCCCCGCCTTCTCTTCCTTGTAGAGGACGGGGCATGAGTGGCTCCTCCCTGTCACAGCCGGGGTGCTGACTGAGCACTGGATCTTGCTCCTGGGCTTGCGGTTCCCCGGTCCGGAACACACTGACGGCTGTCCCTGTTCCCTCCAGGACGGCTGTTCTCAGCGAAGGGCCTTGCACGCGCTCCTGAGCAGCGGCCATGGGCCTGCTGGCCTTCCTGAAGACGCAGTTTGCGGTGCACCTGCTCATCGGCTTTGTGTTCGTGGTGAGCGGACTGGCCATCAACTGTGCCCAGCTCTGCATGCTGGCGCTCTGGCCCCTCAGCAAGCAGCTGTACCGCCGCGTCAACTGCCGCCTCGCCTACTCGCTCTGGAGCCGTGAGTGTCACGAGGGCCCTAATGCTCCCCTGAGGGCAGGTGCACTCGGCCCTAGGACAGGGAATTGGGGCTGCTCTGGACTGGCAGAGGTTCATCCCTGTCTCAGAGATGCTAGAAAAGTGCTCAGCCTGAGCCTTTACTAGGTTGAACCACGGGATGTTCCAACATGGGACCCTTTTGACCAGCAGAAATGGCAATTTCTCTATCTCGGCCACCATGGCTCCATGGTTAGGCTGCTGGCCACATGCACTGGGGCTCGTGGGTTTGAACCTGGCCCAGGCCAGCTAAAACAACAATGACAACTACAACAAACAAAAAAATAGCCGAGTGCCTGTAGTCCCAGCTACTTGGGAGGCTGAGGCAAGAGAATTGCTTAAGCCCCAAGAGTTGGAGGTTGCTGTGAGCTGTGATGCCATAGCACTCTACTGAGGGCGACATAGTGAGACTCTGTCTCCAAAAAAAAAAAAAGAAAGAAAAGAAAAAGAAGAAATGGCAGTTTCTTGTGTTTAAATATGGTACTTTGGGTATTTTTAAACTAATAAAAATAAAGAGGGTACTAAGCTCAGGCCACCCGCTACTGAGCTTCAACAGGGATGGACATGGCCCCCGCGTGTCCCTGTACATGAAGCCACCCCAGCACCAGAGTATTCTGCAGAGGTTTCCGCATGGGCTTCTGGAGGAGAAGGACTCTTTCTTCCCTGCAAATTAAATACCTGCGGGTAGCTGCATGCGCCTGTGCTTGTGTGTCTGTTTTTATATATAGAAATCCAACTTTCACCTGTCACATGGACAGACCTAAAAGCTTGATGACACCCACTGCTGACAGGTGACTGCTCAGCCCTGTTAGTGGGCATGTATGTCAGCGCATCCCTGCAAGGCAGTTTGGCAACAGCTATCCCTAGTTTAAATGGGCTCGGTGCCTGTGGCTCAAGTGGCTAAGGCGCCAGCCACATACACCCAAGGTGGCAGGTTTGAATCCAGCCCGGGCCGCCAAACAACACTGATGGCTGCAACCAAAAAAAAAATAGCCAGGCACTGTGGCAGGCGCCTGTGGTCCCAGCTACTTGGGAGGCAGAGGCAGGAGACTCGCTTGAGCCCAGAAGTTGGAGATTGCTGTAAGGTGTGATGCCACAGCACTCTACCAAGGGGGACAGCTTGAGGCTCTGTCTCAAAAAAAAAAAAAATAGTTTAAATGGTTATACTTTTCAATTCAGTTATTCCACAAAATGAGACTGTAACCTGGAGAGATATTTGCAAAAGTATGTCCATGGCCAGGAATTCTCATTTCATCATTTTTACATTGGCATATCACTGGCAGCAACGTGAGGGCCTCTCATGGAGACTATGCTATGTCCATACGGTGGGGTCCTGTGTGGCTGTCAAGGAGAGCAAGGACCACCTTCCCTCACCTTCAGAAAATGTTTTTAAGCCAAAGAGGGAGGTATACAACAAAGTAAATAGTATGCTGTCACTTACACTTTGGTTTTTTAGAAAAGACACAGTGTGTGTGTGGTGTGCCCGTGCATCTCAGGGTCCTGGGAGGAGGCAAGA